GCATCACAATAAACTGTATAAGGCCCTGAACTTGTGGGCAAAACCAACACCAGTGCCGTAGTCAGAGCTGTCTTGAGCCTCTGAAAGCTCGCCTCACACTCGTTCGACCATCTGAACTGGGCACCCTTCTGGGTCAATCTGGTCATCGGGGCTGCAATAGATGAAAACCCCTCTACGAACCGACGATAGTAGCCTGCCAAACCCAAGAAACTCCGGAACTCTGTAGCTGATGCTGGTCTAGGCCAGTTCTTGATTACCTCAATCTTCTTCGGATCAACCTGAATACCCTCTGCTGACACAACATGACCCAGGAATGCAACCGAACTCAACCAGAACTCACACTTCGAAAACTTAGCATATAACTGACTATCCCTCAAAGTCTGAAGAACCACTCTGAGATGCTGCTCGTGCTCCTCCCGGCTACGGGAATATATCAAAATATCATCAATGAAGACTATCACGAGCGAGACCAAGTAAGGCCTGAACACTCGGTTCATCAAGTCCATAAAAGCTGCTGGGGCATTTGTCAACCCGAATGACATCACCAAGAACTCATAATGCCCGTACCGAGTGCGGAAAGCTGTCTTAGGGACATCGGATGCCCTAATCCTCAACTGATGGTAGCCAGATCTCAAGTCAATCTTTGAAAATACCCTGGCACCCTGAAGCTGATCGAACAAATCATCAATCCTCGGCAGCGGATACTTATTCTTAATTGTAACCTTGTTCATTGCCGGTAATCTATACACATTCGCATCGATCCATCCTTCTTCTTAACAAACAACACCGACGCACCCCAAGGCGAAACACTGGGTCTAATGAAACCCTTCTCGAGCAAGTCTTGCAACTGCTCCTTCAACTCTTTCAACTCAGGCGGGGCCATACGATACGGCGGGATAGAAATGGGCTGAGTGCCCGGAGCCAAATCAATGCAGAAGTCAATGTCCCTGTCGGGTGGCATACCCGGCAGGTCTGAAGGGAATACCTCAGGAAACTCACGAACAACGGGCACAGACTCAATAGAAGGAACCTCAGCACTAGAATCACAAACATAGGCCAAATAGGCCAAACACCCCTTCTCGACCATACGCCGAGCCTCCACATAGGAGATAACACTACGGGTATAATGACCAGGAGTCCCTCTCCACTCCAAACGAGGCAAACCCGGTAAGGCTAAGGTCACAGTCTTGGCATGACAGTCCAGGATAGCGTGATAAGGTGATAACCAGTCCATCCCCAATATAACATCGAAATCAACCATGTCCAGAAGAAGCAAATCTACACGAGTCTCAAGACCTCCAATCACAACTATACATGAACGATGGACTCGATCTACCACAATAGAATCACTCACAGGTGTAGAAACATAAACAGGAACGCTTAGGGAATCACTAGGCATGACCAGGTATGGTGCAAAATAAGATGACACATACGAGTACGTAGACCTTGGATCAAATAACAATGAAGCATCTCTATCACAAACCAGAACCGTACCTGTAATAACTGCATCTGAAGCCTCAGCCTCGAGCATGGCTGGAAGAGCATAACATCGGGGCTGGGCCCCACCACCCTGAACTACATCTCTCGGACGGCCTGCTGCTGGCTGGCCTCCACCTCTAGCGGCCTGAGCTCCACCTCTAAGACCTCTACATTCACCTCTAGCACCTCTACCCCCACCTCTAGCTGGTTGGGCGGGCTGTGGAACACTCGGTGCCTGAACCATGGCACGGGAACCCTGATGCTGAGAGCTACTCGGTGCTCGAGGGCAATACCTAGCAATGTGCCTCGTGTCGCCACAAGTAAAACAAGCTCTCGACTGCTGGGGCTGACAAGAGGCCTCGTCATTAAGGCCGATTCAGTGGTACCTCGTCTGGAGGTAGAGATTCGTATGGTAGAGGCCACCCTCCTAGGCCTTTTCAATCAGCACTTTAGGTTTCTTCCACCCGCTCCTATTTCATTATATCTTGTGGCAGGCGTACCACCCGCTCCCATTTCATTATATCTTGTGGTACGCCTACCACAAGATATAATGAAATGGGAGCGGGTGGTACGCCTGCCACAAGATATAATGAAATAGGAGCGGGTGGTACCCTACCACAAGATATAATAAAATGGGAGCGGGTGGTACGCCTACCACAAGATATAATGAAATGGGAGCGGGTGGTACGCTTGCCACAAGATATAGGAAATGGGATCGGGTTGCACGCCTGCAACAAGATGTGAAAAGAAAGTGAAAGCTGCTTTTGTTTCCTTATTCTTGTTAGTGGTTGGATTTTGATCCCTTTATAATTCTATTGATATTCTGTTTTTACCTGTTATCCCCCGAAGCATGTTTCCCCCTCCCATCTTTACTTGTTTACTTCTGTATTTCTTTTTCGCTGTATATATTTGAACTGCACAGGTTATGTGGTAGTCTGGTCCTAGCCTCGTCACTACTTCGCCGAAGTTAGGCTAGACAGTTACCAGCACATGGGGTCAGTTGTGCTGATACTACACTCTGCACTCTTTTGTGTAGATCCCAGTGCTGTAAATTTCGGACAGTATATCAGGTGGCTACCTTCAGTCCACGCGGAGATCCAAGGTAGACCTGCAGGCGTCCACAGGCCCTGGCGTCTCCTCTATCTTCTATTCTCTATTTTATTTTCCTTATTTCAGAAATAGTGTACTGTTATTTCTTCAGACTTTGTGTGTAGTGAATCTTAGACTGTCTGTGACACTGTGACACCGGGTTTTGGGTGGTTAAGGCTTGAGTAATTATAATAGACATAGATTCCAAATATTTTATTATTTTCTTCCGCTTAATTTATCTTTTTGCTGTTTATAAGTTATCGCCTTGTGTTTGATAAAAAGGAATAAATGGATAATGAAGTAATTAGTTTTAAAGAATTGGCTTGCCTAGCTCACATTAGTAGGCGCTATCACGACTCTCGATGGTGGAAAATACGGATCGTAACAGAGGTAGTCAAGGAGGATGACGAAGTTGTTAAGGTACGCAACGCCTCAATGTACTTTACTGAGGTTGCCGCGCTATGGTGGCGTCGAAAGTGTGCTGACATGGAGAAGGGGCTATGCAAGATTGTGACATGGGAGAAGTTCAAGAAGGAGTTGAAGAAGCAATTCTACCCGATGAATGTGGTGTACGAAACAAGGAGGAAGCTAAGAGAGCTCTGATAGACAGCCACAATTCAGGAGCATGTGTGCGAGTTCACTACCTTAATGCTACAAATCTCGTCGTTGTCTGAGGAAGATTCCCTCTTCTACTTCATGGTTGGGTTGCAAAATTGGGTAAAGCAAGATTTAAGAAGACATCAAGTAGACAACGTGGATGAGGCCATAACGATAGCCGAGTCGCTCGTTGATTTCAAGATGGAGCCTGCCAAGTCCAAAGAAGGCTACGCCAAGAGGGGTGGGGGAGATCATGACAAGGACAACGGGAAAGGCATAACCGAGGTATACAAGGGCAATGGCAAGGGGCCATCCTATAATGAACAAATGTCTAAGAGAAATGGTAAGGGGCCAGAAAATGGTAGCGAGTACGTGTCTAAAAGAGGGTGCTACTTCTGTAAAGGATCACATCAAGCAAGTGAATGCCCAGAGTCGGGAAAATTTGCAGCAATGATCGGAAATTTTGCTTAGGCACACAAGGGTGACACAGGAGGGACTGCCTGCATTGGGGGGATGCGCCTGGAATCTAAGACGAAAGTATGGGATTCCAAAGCCTATCTTGGCGCCATGCAAATGGAGCATGGTGGCAGCAAGAAAAGTCGGGCGGACATAGTTGAAAAGGATGGCGAGTTATAAAGTGATGGCACTCTATCGGACTTAGACGATGCACCAAGCAGAGGGGTCAAGTTTGCTAGCAAGGCTGGGACCACGGAGGGTAACCAAATAGGGAGTGGAAGCATGGACCTGATGCTTGAGAAACTGCTAGACTTGGCTGAGTCACGGGGAGATTCAGGCCAAGAGCAAGGAGAGGCATCCGATGGGCGGAGGATTGAGGCCATCATTACTAGCCGTCCAAAGTACAAACAGGGTAAGAAGAAAGGTGACTAGTACCTTGTGACATGGGAAGACGAACCGCTCCATAGGGCATCATGGCTAATGGACAAAGATCTCCGGCGACGCCAAGGTGAGGTACGCGCGTACGTGTCGATGCTTTGTGCTAAGGGCGGCACAAAATTGGGTGGGGAGAGTGTCATGGCCCGCCACATTATCATGCCACATAGGTGACACATGGCATATAATTTTGACATATGAAAAGCTTATATATGAAATAGACTAGCATACGTGGGAAGGTTCTAGAGAAATACGGAGATTTCTCATGGAAGACCTTAGAACCCTATGGAATTGCTAGGAAAGTCCTTAGATGATTCTAGCTATGTAGAATATTATAGAAAAGGAACTTACTTATAAATAATAAGGGCCTTGTATAATAATAATTATTTACTTACTAACCCCTAGGAGACTAGTATATAAATGAGGCTATTCATTTGTAACTCACTAAGCAAACAAATCAAGTTCTCTACAATAAAAAGCTTCCTTTGACAAATTTCTCCTGTCTTTCTTATTTCCTTAGCGATCTTGAGTGTAGTATTTTAGGCTGACTTGGCATAGCAAGATCGTGAACAAGTTTACAAGTGCCGCACGTGCGCTTAGTTTAAGACTAAGGACGTGACATATTTCTATAGAAGTTCTTAGGAATCACAATAAGGCTGATGATTTTTGAGTGGTACTATTTCTTAAAATGGGATCAACGTTGTCATTTTCATCGACTTAAATTTTTTTATTTAATAATTATTTTAAAATGAAGTACACTATCTAATATAAAATTTATGTTATTTTTTAAAATTGTGTACTCAAAGACTAATTTCTATAAACTAGAAGGGCTAGAGGTGCAATTCTTTACAAGAAAAGTCCTAAGAGCAAAGTCACCAATACAATTTTTTGGAAATTAAGGGCCAAATCGCAAACGCTAAGACACGGGAGCTCGTTGGCTAGTTCAGTTATCCATAAAGCAGTGACACAGCTTTTCTATCTTCTGTAGTCAAAGCAGCAGCAGAAAGAAAAGCTTTGTACTTTCAAATGAACGGAAGCCACCCTTTTAATAGAGCCAAAATGGCTATGCAAACCTCTTCTTATAAGGTTATTTATGATTTCTCTTGATAAATTAAAGTTGCAATTTTTATGGGTTTCATTGCTTTCCCAAGTTCTTTTCTTAATAAGAATACAATCAATTTCATTATTTGACTATCTTTTTTTTAGTTCATGCAGTCAAGATTCAATTTTTATTAAGGATCAATTGAGAGTGTCACTTTATTGTGTGTATCTGCATAACGGATTATTGCTTCACTCATTTTTTCTTTGATATGGGAAGAGTCTTGATTATTGTATGCATGCCAGATGCTTGATAAAATGCCACTCATACATTCATTGTGTGTAATTGATTTCTTTGAATGTCGTGGCATCTTCATTTACGCTTCCGGTGGCTGATGTAGAATCTTTTGTTTGCTCAGCTTTGGTCATTAAAGAGTTGCTCATCCCTCAGGGAAACCACTTCAGTTAGCCTGTTAAATTTAAGGAGCAGCTCTTCTGCTAGAGTTTTCTCTCTTATGAACATGAACCGCTACTCTACCTACTCCAATGATGATTCTTTTCCCTCCACGAAGAGGAGGTCTCGCGGACCGATAATGGCAGCCAAGAAAAGGTCTGAAGGTAGGGATTTTGATATGATATTGCTGGAAATTATGTTTTTTTGAGTATAAAAATGAGCTGAGGTTATTGTAGTTACTAGTCACTTCGGTCATTGCTGACAAGATGCAGCGTTGTAAGCTGACTGGCCTGCTTGATATTGTCCAGGGGCTAAGCAGGAAGATGGGAAATACAAAGATACAGTTGATCTGCCAAAGACTGCCTTTGGCTTGCGAGCAAATTCCACTGTCAGGGAACCTGAACTTCAGAAAATATGGGATGACAACCAGGTTTTTAAAAGAGTTGTTGAGAGGAACAGTGGGGTGAGTGCTTGAAGACTGACTTAAGTATCTCTACTAATGAGAATTGCTTTTGACTAATGTTTACAGTTTCTTGATAGGGCACCTTTGTTCTGCATGATGGACCTCCTTATGCTAATGGTGACTTACACATGGGACATGCTTTAAATAAGATCTTGAAGGACATTATTAATCGTTATAAGGTTGGCATGTAAGCTTACTCTTTCTTAGTTAGTATTTTTTTTTTGTATGTGCATTGGACTAAATAGCAACATGGTTAATTGGTTCTCTTTGGTGGTTAGCCTTCGCAGTGATAGGAACATTAACATGTTGCGTGTATATGAGTAAATTCTTGATGGCACATTAGGGTTTGAGTACCAACAGTGGCTGCTTCGGGCAGATCATATTTGATTTGCCACTTTTGGTTATAGGTGATTTGTTGAGAGCTCTGAGCCTTTAAGTTACTCGCTTTCAAGTCTTGATCTGATAACATGGAGCACTTACTGCTACATAAGCTCTTTTGAGGTACTTTGAGATTCATCAATGGAAATTCTTCATTAAGTTAGATCATTTTCTGATAGTAACGACCCTCATCATTAGGATAATTCTATTCTTTTCATTATGATAGACTGACATAAGTCCTTCATAAATATGTTGTTACTGTGTAGCTCTTGCTACAGATAAAGGGTGATTCTTCTTCAGTATCAGAAGAGAACTGCTTTATAAATCAATCAAAAAATATCTAGAGCAACCACATATGTTTTTTCCATGTAAATAATGAAAGCTTCAACTCTATGATTTTTTTCTTTTTATTCTTTTTTTATAACCGTGGTGTCCGTACCAACTTGCGCGCATCTGGACTAATTCAACAGGGTACCTGTTTATTTTCATTATTTTATCAAGGATATAGTTGATTGATAGCAAAAAGAGGAGACAAAGGGGTAATCCCTGTTTGTATATGTTAGAGAATGCTACACCTATCTGTCATCGGTTGTGTAAAGGTATTCAAAGGGGTTTAAATGGTCCTGTGCTACTCCATCATACCTTTAATGTTTTGGGTTGAACACTCGGATTCACATGGTATTAGAGCTAAAAGTTGGTGAACCCATTTTCCCAGCCGCTTTATCTCTTCATGTTCTATTGCTCTAGACCTCTCTCTTTAAACGCAGCCCATGGAGTTGCTTAGGGTTTCTCTCTCACACACGGTTCAGCCTAATGAGCCACTAGCATTGCTCCAAGCCAACTTATTAGCCTGTTCAGCCTAATCTTGTCTCTCTCTCTATTCCAAGCCCACTTTATTTAGCCTCCTCTCTCTACTTAAAAAGACAACGACAACAACAACAACATACCCAATATAATCCCACAAATGGGGTCTGGGGAGGGTAGTGTGTACGCAGACCTTACCCCTACCTGGCGAGGAGAGGCTGTTTCCAATAGACCCTCGGCTCAAGAAAAGGTGAAAAGAGAGAGAGGAAGAAGACGAAGAAGAAAGAGGAAGAAGAAAGAAAGAATAGGGGGACAAAGGACGATAAGGAAAAGGGGAGAAAGACAACTATAGTAACAACAATAACAACAACAACAACAACAACAACAACAAAACCAGTAACAGAAAATAGCATCAAATAGTAACAGACTGGAACATACGATACACAGAGCGGACGAAAAAAAACAAGGGAGCTACTAATACTACTAAAAAAGAACGGGGAACTCTCGACTACCTACTACCCAACCACTCTAATCTTCGACCTCCACATCCTTCTATCCTGGATCATGTCCTCAGTGAGCTGAAGTAGCGTCATATCTTGCCTAAGCAGCTCTCCCCAATACTTCTTCGGCCTTCCTCTACCCCTTCTCAGCCCCGCCACGGCCAGCCTCTCACACCTCCTAACAGGAGCATCCGTACTCCTCCTCTGCACGTGCCCGAACCATCTCAGCCTCAACTCCTGCATCTTTGTCCTCCACGGGGGCCACTCCCACTTTGTCCCGAATAACTTCGTTCCTAATCTTATCTCTCTTGGTATGCCCACACATCCATCTCAGCATCCTCATTTCTGCTACTTTCATCCTCTGAACATGGGAGTTCTTGACTAGCCAACATTCAGCCCCATACAACATAGTAGGTCTAACCACCACTCTGTAGAACTTACCCTAAGTCTTGGTGGCACCTTCTTATCACACAAAACACCGGATGCAAGCCTCCATTTCATCCACCCCGCACCGATATCCGTAGACCCGAGATACTTGAAACTACCCCTCCTCGGGATGACTTGGGTATCGAGCTTCACATCCACGTCCGCTTCATGAGTCTCGTCACTGAACTTACACTCCAAGTATTCCGTTTTGGTCTTGCTCAACTTGAAACCTTTAGACTCTAGGGTCTGCCTCTAGACCTCCAGCCTCGCATTGACCCCGATCATCGTCTCATCAATCAGCACTATGTCATCGGCAAATAACATGCACCATGACACCTCCCCTTGAATGTGCCACGTCAGCACATCCATCGCTAGAGCAAATAAGAACGGGCTAAGAGCCGATCCCTGGTGTAACCCCATCACTACTGGGAAGTGATCTGAGTCACCTCCCATTGTCCTCACCTGAGTCTTGGCACCATCATACATGTTCTTGATTACCCTAGTGTAAGCTACCGGAACGCCGCTAACCTCCAAACATCTCCACAAAACCTCCCTCTGAACTTTATCGTACGCCTTTTCTTGGTTTATAAACACCATGTGTAGGTCCTTCTTTCTCTCCCTATACTACTCTACCAATCTCCTCACCAGATGAATGGCTTCCGTAGTCGATCGCCCCGGCATAAATCCAAACCGATTCTAGGAAATAGACACACTCTTTCTCACCCTGACTTCCACAACTATCTCCCAAATTTTCATAGTATGACTCAGCAGCTATAGTTAGTGCAATTTTGGATATCACCCTTGTTCTTGTACAAAGGAATCATCGTACTCCACCTCCATTCTTCGGGCATCTTCTTCGTCTTAAAGATAACATTAAACAATCCAATAAGCCACTCCACGCCTGCACGGCCCACACTCTCAGAATCTACCGGGATCTCGTCTGGCCCAGACGCTCTTCCCCTGCTCATCTTACGCATCACTCCCATAACCTCTTCAACCTTAATATGCCTACAATAGCCAAAATCACGCGGACTCTCGGAGTGCTCCATCTCACCCAGCACAATGCTTCTGTCCCCCTCCTCGTTCAACAATCTGTGGAAGTATGTCTGCCATCTTCGTCTAATATGGGCATCTTCCACCAATACCATGCCGTCCTCGTCTTTGATGCACTTTACTTGGTCCAAGTCACGAGCCTTCCTCTCCCTCACTTTGGCTAACCTGTACAACTTCTTGTCCCCGCCTTTGCTCCCAAGCTCCGCATACATGTGTCCAAAGGCAGCAGTCTTAGCCGCCGTAACCGCTAACTTTGCCTTCTTATAACATTCCCAATTCGTCCTCTTTTCCTCCTCGTTTGTGCTCTCTACTTGAAAAGAAAAAAGGAAAAAACAAAAGAAAGAAGGAAAAATCGAATCCACGTGTAAACCCTAAAATCTGGTTACATGTGCCGGAAGGTGCTCCAGCTGTAGCCTTAAGATTTTGTGTTGAATGTTCAAATTGTTTCACAGTACAGATGAATGGGTGACTTCTGTAAACAACATACTATATTTTAGGTTTGTTCTCTACATTTTAGTTTACTGTATATGGGATTTTCCGCTAAATCAATAAAATTATTTTACCTTATAAAAAATGTGTTACGACAAAGAGGAGAGAGAACGGAAAATGAAGAGAATATAGGATTATGTGATGTTAATAACATAGATCTTCTTAAGTGTAAGCACCAGAAATGAAAAAGAATCATGTTGCTGACTAACAAATCGGGTATTGGAGAGATCAACCTCACCCAGCTTCCTTATTGGAGCCTGAAAAAGACTTGTCAAGTCGAGCCACAACTAACCTGAGTGTATGTAGCTCGCAAGCCGGCTTAGTAAATTTTAACCCTCACTAGCTGAACTTTGCCTAATTTCTACAGCCGTTGGTGTTGTCAGATAGTTTGTTGAAAGATTTTCCTTTACTTCTCACTAATCATTACATGATTTGGGCCCACACAGGTTGAGCTCTAGTGTAATATCGTCTGCTTTTATCTGCTAGATCTGGATAAGATCTTTTGTTGGTTAGCTTAAGCACATAATACAAGCAGGTAGGTGAGATTGTAGTGAAAAATAACAAAAGCTATAAGGCTTTAACATGATGTTACTTCCATATTTTAGCATCTCTCAGTGCTATGCTGGCTGTAATATTGTTCAGTAATCAGTATGGTTAATATTGTGGTCTATGTTGCCTAAAATTTGTGATCAGCACGGACTCAAGGGAGCACTACTGTAAGTTAACAAGTGATTCACAAAGACTACTTCCCAGGCATTTCTGGTGCCTGGAACTTATTATGTCTACATACAAATTATGCCAGAACTTAGGAGTTAACGGGCTTTTACCCCTGCATGTATTTCATGTCTGTATATTAACATAAGAATTCCTGCCATATCTAATCAGTTCTTCTGTTTTATCAGCTTCTTCAAAACTTCAAAGTTCAGTATGTTCCCGGTTGGGATTGCCATGGCTTACCAATTGAGTTAAAAGGTAAACTTCATTGCTTGTGCAGTTTCAGTCAAGTTTGTTGAATATTCCTATGCTTAAGTCTAGATTGACGGTTAAACTATGTTAGCAGATGTAACCTATATTTACGGGGAATGTACTTGTCAAAGTTGGCTTTGTCCTTAAAGAAGTATCTATTTGTTAAAATTCTCTGCCACTGGGCTACTTGAGTTGTTATACTTAAGAAGCAGACATTTGTTGGCGTAAACCATTTGTGATGCAAAATACCTAGTCTGAACTTCCAAATTGGCAGACCAATTACAAATATAAGTCAGAGATGGTAGCCTGTGCTTTCGCTAGAGCTTTACTTAAGGCCGTGTATCATTCTTTGGTTGACCTTTGTTGTTCTTAGCCTATTTCTCCTTTCTACTTTCGTCCTTTGATTTAACTACATTGGATTACTCAAAACTACAGATCATGTGCACTTCAGAATGGCTTCTTTCCTGATCAAAGCCAGTCTTTGAGACAATTTCCTTGGTCTTTTGAGATGAAATGTTACCTATTATTGGCTTGAGAGCATGTAGGCTTAAGTACAACCATAATCAAATTGATTTTCCCCCCTTGGTTCCTGATTAGAGAATGTGCTGCAAGCTTCTTTTTAATGAAGTAAGATCCTTTTGCATAGAGGTTAATATAGATATTATTGCTGTCTGTGGAAACTCCACCTACTACAGTTCTTTTTTTCCACATTTTCTCTCTCTCTCTCTCTCTCTCTCTCTCTCTCTCTCTTAATCAGTTCCAATGATTAGAGACTATCATTCTCATGCAACTCCACCTTATTCCTTAACTATTTGGCAAGACTTGTTTTGGAAATTTAACACTATCCCGAGTGTCTGACATGGTGGATAAAAATTATGGAATAAGGGGACCAAAACTTTAGAACATACTATTATGCTATTCTCTTCTATCTGTGCCGCCTAATTTTTATTTTGGTGGCATGACAGCTTCTTTTAACTTCAGTGTTACAGTCACTAGATGCTGATGCCAGAAAGGAGCTTACACCGCTAAAATTGCGAAACAAGGCGGCCAAATTTGCAAAATCAACAGTGCAGAGTCAGATGGCATCATTTAAGGTTGTTTATAATTTACTACTTCCCATTCTAAATTCTTTCATCAAGGTCCTTCTATTCTTCCTTTCTTGTTTATTCTGTTTTATCATAATGCTAACATTTATGAGTCTGAGATGGTTGCAGCGTTATGGAGTATGGGCTGACTGGGATCAACACTATCTAACTCTTCATCCAGAATATGAGGCTGCTCAGGTATCTTCACAGCAACTCTTTTAGCTCCTTCTCTGTCTTTTGCTGAATCTCGCATATATCTGCTCTTATTGGTAATGCTTTTGTCGGTTTGCTTTTGTACTAAATGTTTTGTGTGCCTTCTCTATATCTGTCCTTGTTATGAAAGCTAGCACTAATGCTTTTCTCTTTGACAGGTAAGCTGCGTATTTTTCTTTTTATGTTAACAATAATTATACCGTCAAACTAGTCTTATAAAACTCCTTCCCTGCTTTATGCTTCTCTACTAGATTGAAGTATTTGGCCAGATGGCTATTCAAGGTTTTATCTACAGAGGCAGGAAACCAGTTCATTGGAGTCCCTCATCTCGAACTGCACTTGCAGAGGCTGAACTGGAGGTATGTGGACTTCTATTGCTGCTTTCTTCAAAGATGACCTACTTTCTCTGTGATACTCTGTTTCACCTGGGAGATTGGTAAAACTTGAATGATTTACAAGGCCGTGGGTTCTACTACTTTTTGACTTTGACTCGTACTTTCTGGCAGAGTGAGGGTGAAACCTCATAAGTTGTCTGGGCAATAGCATAGTCTGGGTCATGATGTTGTTGTATCTCCCATAAGTTGTTAACATCTCCTCTCTCTCTCTTTCTCCTTTTTTTTGATTTGATATATGGTATATCATAAATAATTTACTAGAAAGGTTGAACAGTGTAACTTTGATCTGCTAGTTATATAGTTGTATGAGGTGTGTGTTTATGTATATGTATATATTTATTTGTATGTATATACATGGTTTCTATCTAACATCTATGAAGTTTATATGCAGTATAATGAGGATCATGTGTCAAAGAGCATGTATGCTATTTTCAGACTAGTTGATGTACCAGCTTCGTGTGACTCATTGAAAGAATTCTTGCCCAATCTATGCTTGGCAATTTGGACGACGACTCCTTGGACAATACCAGCTAATGCTGGTAAGGTGTTTTATGGGATCATCCACACCCCCCCCCTTTTTTTTTTTCCTTCTGTAAATAATCCAAATTAGGAAAGGTGTTATGCTTCAAACGTTATTAGTCCACTTTGCATCTTGTATAAGACTCATTGGAACTCTGGCTTCAAGTTAAACTTTTCCTGCTCGGACCATCAAATTTCTGTGTGCAAGATATCATAGTTGTCACTATTGAAATGAAATAGTTAAATATAAGCTGGAATATATTGTCTAGATAAGTGTGCATATTTTGGCACTGCACAACATAGCCAATCTATGAAAAGGTTATATATAAGCAACCAAACACTAGAATGGTGCTGATGCACTTATGTGGCGATAACTGTTTGTTAAGTCCCATATTGGTTGGAATGGGATGTGGTCTCTTTATATGGTTTTGGGCAATCGTTCCCTCATGAGCTGACATTTGGGGTTGAGTTAGGACCACGGTCCACTCCTTCACATGATATCAAAGTCAAACCCATCGATGCCTGTTGTTGTGTTTGTCAATATTGAGCCCCTGTGTTATGTTATCCATGCTCCAGTTTCCCAGTCCTGGGCGTTAAGGGGGTCTAAGTCCCACATTGGTTGAGGGATTGGGTTGTATTATCCTATGCAATTCTCTTTTCATGAGCTACGTTTTGGGGTTGAGTTAGACCCAAGGTCCATATCTACCAAAAAAAAGTTAGATCCACGCTCCATTTTGTCACAACTGTGTCATATCCACTGCTTAATGAGATTGAATTCTTCACTAAAAAATTTCCGTTGTTGCTCTGATTTTGAGGAATCTGCTTCCAGGGGGAGTATCTTTTGCCGAGTTTACTGGGTTAGTGCGTGTTTTTTGTCCATCTTTATGCTGCATCCTTTTTCCATCCTTTTTGAGAGAAGCAGATTTAAGAACTAGATAAATTTGTGTCTGTGTAAGACTTAAGTAACCAATGCTTGATTTATTCTCAAGTTTCAGAAGCATTTCGGGTTTGTATGACATGCTAAAGATACTACCCTTTTCAAGTGGAGTTCTTTTTTTGTTATAGCATTGAGTTTATTACCACAGCTCGTTGTCTCAACAAATATAAGTGCTGCTAGTCTGTTATCATGTGAAAATGTGCTTGGTTTTTCTATAGTCAATGCTCATTAAGTCGTGGTATGGAAATTCATTTTTTCCATTTCCATTAATATATTGAGGTACAATTATTGTCTAATAATAATTGGGGGGATTTGCAGCTGTTGCAGTAAATGGTAAGCTTCAGTATGCCGTCGTTGAAGTTTGCTCAGCATCGACAGACGATTCTACATCTCCCGGGGATGGAAAGAAGAGGCTTGGAAATTTCTTGAAGGGCGATAAAAGCCTATATCTTATTGTAGCTCTGGACCTTGTATCAGCATTAGAAGCAAAATGGGGCTTGAAGCTTGCCTTGAAGAAAACAGTACTGGGTTCGGATCTTGAAAATTGCAGGTGAAGTGTTGAACTTGTACGCCTGGTTGCACAAGCTTATTATTTGTGCTGTCAAATACAATTCAAATGGTATATTTCCAATGATTTTCATGTGTTTATGCTGTCAGAAGTCCAAGTTAATAGGACCTTAAGTATTATCCATGTGGGTCCATAACCAAGCTGTGCATGCTGTTCATGAGTTCCTCACAGTTGTTACTAGAGAGGAATTGTTCATTATTACATCAGGAACCCACGTTCAATTTTCTCAGGTACACCCATCCTATAGATAGCCGGGAATGCCCTGTTGTCATTGGGGGTGATTACATTACAACAGAGTCAGGAACTGGATTAGTTCATACCGCACCTGGTCATGGACAGGAAGATTATGTAACCGGCTTGAAATACGGCTTGCCTATAGTTTCCCCTGTTGACGATGTTGGGAAATTTACGGAAGAAGCTGGACAATTTAGGGGGCTCGATGTGCTTGGCAATGGCAATGTTGCTGTTATTGATTACTTGGATGAACAGCTGTCACTGGTCATGGTAGAGCCATACAGTAAGTGGTTACTGTTGTTTCAGTGCCTATTCCAGATGTCCACAAACTATAAGTCTCCCGTGATTCATTAAATAATGTGATATTTCTTCTGAATGTAATCCTAGTCTTTTCGTCTAATAAATGTTGTGCAGAACACAAATACCCTTATGATTGGAGAACAAAGAAGCCCACAATATTCAGGGCTACTGAACAATGGTTTGCATCAGTAGAAGGATTTCGTGATGCTGCAATGGATGCAATCAACCAAGTAACTTGGACTCCTACTCAGGTATTTGTTAATACTCTGGCTCTCAAATTCTTTAAAGATAGCAGCTGGTCCTTTAGTGGCTTTGTAACTGCATAATATAATTGTCTCCAGGCAGTAAACCGTATTTCTGCTATGACATCTGGCCGCTCGGATTGGTGTATATCACGCCAAAGGACATGGGGAGTCCCCATTCCAGTCTTTTACCACGTTGAATCAAAGGAGCCACTGATGAATGAAGAAACTGTAGATCATATCAAATGTAAAGCTTTCATGTTGTGATTTCTTGTACTTCTGTGTTATATGGATTTTAATTGGGGCGTGATAAATAACTTGTCTACTACATTGCATATGAATCTTATTAAATATTAAAATCTTTAATTTGCATTGGGAATATGCAGATGTTCATTCTCACTTTGTATCATGATTTTGCAGCTATAATTTCGCAAAAAGGAAGCGATGCATGGTGGTACATGTCAGTGGAGGAATTACTTCCTGAGAAATATCGTGATAAAGCATCACACTATGAAAAAGGGACTGATACAATGGATGTTTGGTTTGACTCAGGTGATATAGCTTCTTTCGGTACTCTGTACCTGTTGAACTAGCTCAACGATTCCCTTTTTGGGGATAACGTTGATCATTGATTACTTGAAACTTTAGGGTGCCATGGCTAAAATCTATATGTCTAGGTGGTTTCTCCTTTGCTTCTTGTTGTTTTTGAAAATAATTTCATCTATTCAGCAATACTAGTCAGTTTCTCCTCTCTGGTCATCCTTTATGATTGAGTTTCTGAAGCTGGGTTTGGTAGGACCCCACAATTAAAGTGACTAAAAACTTCTTTTCTTAAACGGGCAAATAGAATACCTTATCCTCCAAATTTCAAATTTACCTTGATCAAGGCAAGTAGTAAAATAATTGTAGCTAATTCTCAACATTATGGAATTACTTCCTGGTTCTTGCTCTCACTGAATGTGGGACACTTAACAACGACCATGCCATTCTTGGTGAAGATGGTAGTTGAATCAAAGGTGGCAAAGAAGAGAAGGTTCTTGAACCGGAACAACCGAATAGAGTGTGATGAACTGTTATCACCAAGTGAGATGGTCGAAATTCTTATTAACCACTTTGCCAACAAAGCTGCCTATAATGCCAACAAATTGAATGTCCTCATTCCCTTTTTGGGTCATTTGTGATATTCCCAACTATATTGGGTGCAGGAATAGATCACCTTGCTAGATTCCATTTTCTTTTCTACCCTATAGGACTACTTTAACTAAAGCTCCAAAATGTGAAAAAAGTACAAGATTAAAGACAATCTTCACACCCATGATGGTTAATATTGCCGAATTAGGAAATTTTCAAAAATTGTCTATTCGAGTGACAAAAATTTGTTTGCATTTGTGGAAGAGCTGAGTACAATATAAACAGAACTTTGTCTGCATCCATCTTCGCTTGGAGTTTTGTTTATTATTGTTCCAGCAAAGTGTGTCTCAGCTTATATCCGCTTCCTGTCCATTTATGCATGAATTTGCATTTTCCCTTACAATTCTAATAGGCTAATTCAACTGGAAATGGAGGTGAAAGTTAGGGTTCCTTATTTACAACCTAAGATGAGCGGAAATCCTACAAAACTAACATTTTTTGCGTTTCAGTTTTTCCTGCTGCATCAAATTTATAGTTTTTGGGTGTTCAGTATATCGTTCTTCCATCCTTCTCTCTCTCTCTCTCTCTCTCTCTCTCTCTCTCTCTCTCTCTCTCTCTCTCTCTCTTTTTATTTTTTTGGGTCTTATGTGTTGTTTCCCTGATATTTTCTCTCTTCATCAATGTGCCGGTTTAACTATATTTCACGAGAAGTCCCTAATGTAAATTTTTCTTTAGCACTAGGATTATAATGTTAGCCGCTGTTTACTCAGGTTCTTCATGGGCTGCGGTGCTGGACAAAAGAGAAAGCCTTAATTACCCTGCAGATTTATACCTTGAGGGTACAGATCAACATCGTGGTTGGTTCCAGAGTTCCTTGCTAACTAGTATTGCTACTAAAGGTAAGGGGCATTTTGTAGTCCTCCTCTTCATCCTATGTAATATTACTTGAGGTTTAGAGAATCTTAAATCTTTACCTTATAAAAGAAAAAAAAATCTTTTGTTAGTCTCTTTATCCCAGGAAATATCAAGCTTGGCTACAAGAAGTAGGGAAAGAAACAGGGTTAACTTCCCGGGGAATTAGTCTACCCCCTTGACCTCCTTTTTGGGCTTTATGGCTGTTCAATGTTTCTACATCTGAAACCATAACTATAGTCCTCTACTATCTGCTATTATTCTTATAGATCTCTTTCTCTCTCTCTCTCTCTGGAACTTCAGACTGTAAGTGTTACCATCTTATTCTCCTAAACAGTAGTAAGTTATATTCTGGAAGAGGCTAAGGGATTTGGAAAAATTCCTGGACATAAAGGACAGTGAGGGATCCTTAGGTAGGGGCTATATTTTGCTTCTGGAAAAGAAGCAAAACTGTTTTTTGCTGCAAAATCCTTAGTAGGGGCTCTTACTACATGGCAGTAGTTAGTGATTTCATTCTTATAGTCTAAATTTTAGATTTTGGCTCTTCGAGATATTGCCTTATAGTAATTTTCTCATCATATGTCATAATCGCAGGCATGGCCCCTTATCGTGGTGTTATTACACATGGATTTGTACTGGATGAAAGGGGGTTGAAAATGAGCAAATCTTTGGGCAATGTTGTTGATCCAAGGATGGTGATTGAAGGAGGGAAAAACCAAAAGGTGTGTTGCCGATTTGTTGCAATTAGTGTGCACCTCACACCTGCTCTTGACAAGAAATGACGTCTCTACTTTACCTTTGACAGGAAAGTCCTCCATATAGTGCTGATGTTTTAAGGCTTTGGGTTTCAAGTGTAGATTATACTGGTGACGTGTTGATTGGACCTCAAGTCCTTCGTCAAATGTCTGACATATACCGGAAGTTGCGAGGAACACTTCGATTCCTTCTAGCAAATCTCCATGATTGGAAAGTAGGTTTAACAATCTCAATCAAGGCTATTTCCAAAATAAGAATGTTCTTGCATGCTCTGATCACTTGTGCAGCAGCATCTTCTTTTTCTGCTAAGCTCTTTTTACTTTCTCTATCACACATAAACACCTAGAGCATGTGCAGTCCGTTTTATAGATCCCTCTTATGCTCGACTCTTGAACTGAGTATTGTTTGTTACTTGTTAAAGTTGATGAGTTTATTAGTTTTCTTTAATTAGATGTTCATACTTAACATTGGTAGTTTTGACGTGAAGTGTTATCTGAAATTTGCTTTCTGCAGGCTGATTGTGCAGTCCCGTATAGTGATCTTCCTATGATTGATCAATATGCATTATTCCAGCTTGCTAATGTTGTGAACAACATCAGAGAGAGCTATGAAGGTTATCAGTTTTTCAAAATATTTCAGGTATGTTTTCTTTAGTTGATGTTTCAAGTTCCTGAAATGTGACGACTCTAAAACTTTGCTTATACGGAAAAAGGCAATTGTTTGATTGAAAATAGTAAGAGTGCATATCATTGAAGGAAAAGAGGAGCTTCACAATTTCTTTTAACTACAAGAGGGGGAGGATCTTAGTCATGGTATAAGCTAAGTACATTTCTCTCAGTTCGTCAGGAGATGAGATCTATAACCACGATTAGTAGATCAGTTACATCGTATATTTGTGTCAACATGAGCTAAGTGGTAAGGTAGAAGTGGCACTGTGGCAGTGGAGTTTAAGGATATAAACACCATTTCTGTCACCAGTGACAAATCAATGAAGTTGTCAGAAGATTAAAACCTGATGTACTTGTTCTTGTTTTACTTGATAGTTGGGGAAAATCTGATGAAACTAGAAACTAAATAAGATATTCTTTATTTAATTTAAGCATATAAACCCTGTCAGTTAAAAAAAAATAACCATTTCGGCACCAGTCACACCTCGAAGTCAAGTTGTTGGATCACTAGTTCTGCCCAAAGTTTCAGTGTCTTAAATCTACGGTTCTCTAGGGGCAGTCAACTTGCTGCAGTTGTACTTGGTAGTTAGGAGAAGAGAAGTTAGTTGACGAGTTCTGGCTGCTTGAATGATAATTTTGGGAAAAGGATAAAGGCTTAGCACAAGAAGTATGGAGGAAAATATTTATTCAGAAGAAAAAAAAAGGTAATACAGAAGAAAATTTTGAGGCCAATATCCAAGGTCCTTAGGATTGACGACAGGGAACATAGCGCATCAATTCTGTTGAATAGAATGACTAATATTCAGTGAAGGCGTTGTTCAGGTGTAAAAGCAAAAAGCAAAAAGCAAAAAAGCAAAAATATTCCCTAAAATTCATGTAAGGATTCCATGAATTCTAATAGTGATTCATCCTCATTTATAATCTACACCAAAAGTAAAACAATATTATACAATAATCTTAATCTTTTGGAAAGAGTTAGCACTATCTTCAAAGCAACTTTCTTTCTGTCCAAAAGATCCTACATATGCGGGCTGGTATTGGATTTCACCTGTGAAGGTGTATTTCTATGAGCGGCTGATAAAAGCCAGCAACTTGTTAGGATTCAGTTTTGTCTTGCCAACAGCGTTATCGGTGGCTATTCTGCAAAATAAGGAGGGAATGGATGGATTCTTATCCTGTGTTAGTAAGGATCATTTCTGAGACAGAAGAGCTTTGGATAATTCCAATGGAAGGTGACCTAATAGCCTGGCTTGGAATGATAAGGTTAGGTTGAGGGGGATTTCTGGAAGAAACGTTCCATGATACACTAAAGGAATGTACACCTTCCAGCTACCTAGTTTATTCTGTTCTACCACAGTGAGGAAGCTTGTCATGATCAGATCTTTCTAGCTGAGAAGGTAGGCATAAGAGCAACAAATCCTTTTCGGTGGAAGTTTAGTTGCAGCAGTGTCAAGGGACTAGTGTAAAAAGAGGGAGGATGTTTAGCTGCTATAAAGTGGCCACTGGCCACTGTGTGTGTGTGTGTGAAACATCTGATTCTACTTGTGTGATTCTACTTCACTTTCTCTTCAATCTCAATTATGTTTGTATTTAAAAAAAAGGGGCGATAGGTATAACTCTTTCTAAACTTCAAGGATAGTGAATAAAAGAGTTGTTTGTTTTGCTTCTTTCAGGTGTGAGTTATCTTAATTCTGTGCATGAGTGATAATGTAACATCTGAATCGTACTATTGTAGTTCCGGCGTCTACAGCCTCCAGTTTTCCTTGAAAAGTATTTGCTACCAGCGACAAATTGCATGTTTTTTTCTCTTAATCAGACAAGGCTGATAGGCTTCTAGGAGTCTAATTTATTCCGAAGTTAAGTGAAATAATCACGTGATCTGATACGTCGAAGTTCAATGGAAAGACAAGCTTGTGGTGAAATTGGTTCTGGCAGTATGGAGAAGATTTCATCAGAACCTTTAAAGCTGGAATTTGTAATACAGCTAGGAATTGCACGAATGCATCTGTATGGCATAGAGAAATGCTACTCCTTCTGTCCCAATTTATGTGTTGGTGTTTGACTGGGTACAATATTCAAGAGAAAAGAAAGACTTCTGAAATTTGTGGCAAAAAACAAGTCATAGATATTTGTGTGGCTTTAAATCATCTCATTAACAGTAAACTAGAAATTTAAAGTTAAGGTATTACTAAATATATAAAGGTGTCATTCTTTTTAGGACTGACTAAAAAGGAAAGAGTGTCACATAAATTGGGAGGGAGTAATATTTAATTTACTTCTAATTTGACAAAATATTGATATGGAAGGTGTTAGCTATGCTTGTGCACAAAATCAACCTATTTATGCAGGTACAGTTATGATGTCTTCTCTTGGTCTTGGTGGCATCTTGTCAAATTGATGGTATTAAAAGTTAACAAAACACTTGGATGGATGGGAGGTGAGCAAAGGAGGGAGAGAAAAAAATTTGTTTCAATCCCCTCAAGTGTAATAAAGCAAAATGATATTCTTAATCAAGAATCATACTGGCGTAAACTCCACGTTAAAAGGTTATTAGATCCCTAATCTGTGACACCGTGTGGTAATACTATAATGTCGATAAGAAGATTATAAAGAGCCCTTTAGTATTTTCCATGAGATGGATATATAAAATATTTTCAGTTAATTTCCGGATTCTTGCAGTTTAAAGTTTAATTTCATGAAAATGTTTGTTTTGAGATGAATTTAATTATCAGCTGATGGACAGTTCTTTTGATACTTTCCTAGTTTTATCCCTTTAATGGAAGGCATCCTTTTTTGTGTAATTATTATTCATTATCCCTGCAGGTGATTCAGCGCTTTGTGATAGTTGACCTCTCAAACTTCTATCTCGATGTTGCGAAGGATCGGCTTTATGTTGGGTAATACATGTTGTATCTCTACATACTCTTCATTTTTTTTATTCTCTTCCCAAGCTTGTATAATGTTTCAAGTCCTGAGAAAACTTTAAAAAATAGTTAAAAGAATATAAAACAAAGCAAGACATAATGCTACCATAGGCAGTGAGTACTGCTATTAAAATAGCGATAAGTAATTAATAATTATAAGGATTGGTTTGCAGTTTTGACCCCTCTTGTATGAGGTACTTCTGATGGTGGCCTTTACTGAACCTACAATCTGGCTTGTAGATTTATCCAAAAGTTGATTTTTGGCTCCTTATTGAACCTGCAATTTGGTTTGTAGATTTATCCAGAAGTGGAATTTTGGCTCCTTACCTAATAAACCCATTTTATTGCCATCAAAATGAGCTGTATTTGGGTACTTCTCATACAATGTTTTGGAAAGAAGAAAAAGAATCAGAAGAAAACGATACCAATAAGTTCTGCTGCTGGTAAGAGATAGTATTGACTCATCAGAGATAGCTAGACTGTAGATAATGGAAGCTCAAAATATGGGAGACTGTAGGGAGGGAAAGAAGGAGAAAAACTGCAGTAGAGGCGATAGGGATAAGGCACCTGTTGGGGGCAGGGAGCCAGGATTGCAGGTGAGGCTACAAGGAAGGGGTAGCGGTGGATGGGCATTCTTGGTCGACTGGAGTTGGAGGTAGGATTACGGAGGAGAAGCAGGGAGTTGAGGAAGGGTAGGATTTTGGGTTGCTTAGAGCTGCTGGTGTGGCGGACCAAATTATTCCTCAAAATTGAAATTATTTTGCTTGCTTTCTTTTCCAATGGAAGTGTCAAAAGTTGGAGTAGAAGTGTCACTTTCCATTAAGCTGAATGGAAGCCAAATTACCCTCTTTTCACAAGGGCGAAAGCTGCAAAAATTCCTGCTGCTGATATCTCGGTTTAAATGAACTTTCTTGTTTGTTTTGCTGTTAGGTTTGTGACTCTAAATCCTCTATTCGGTCAAATAAACGACTGCGATTCTGAATCCCTGAACCTTGAACAATTCATCAAAATACACTAATCACGCTTTTGGGAATACTATGAAACGTATCGATGTCACGCCTTGGACTCTCGTATAGATGGAGGACAATTCGTTTGGGCTCTTTGCTCCTTAGATTTTTATTCTTATCCTCATTCTGGAAGCCTAACATGTTGATTATGGGCTTCAGAAAAAGCAAGCGAACCTTGTTGTTCCAGTTTATCTTTCTCCTAGTAGATTTTGACTCAATTTTATATGGCATGCTAACTTATTTAACAATCAAATACTTCTGTAGAATGTCTCGGTAAGTACCTCGAGTTGATAAGTTTATCTTATGTGAAAATTGAAGTTTGATGGTAGGAACATGTTTCTACTAAGAGTCTTTGTATCAAACTTTAGATCCAAGCTACTTCTCTTAGAAAGTTGGTATTCTGAGTCTTCAATTCTTGGCTCCAAGTCATCATTTTGGTGACAGGTTTCATATCCCATATATGAATTGTTGATCTAGGGTTTTATGTCCTCTGTATATGAGTTTTGACAGATCTTCTAAGAATTCACTTCATGTGGGGATTCAGTGCCTTGCTCTTTGTTTTACATTGATGTTTCTTCTATTCTCTTTGTATTAGATATTGTAGGTACGGGTGTCAATGGATATTTAAAACCGACTAAACCGACCGAACCGATTTTTAGATTTCTTTTAATAAAACCGTAGGTTTTTATACAAATCTGTAACCGTAGGTTTTTTATTTTATGAAAACAAACCGAAAAAATACCGAACCGTACCGAATAAATTTAATGTGAAAAATATATTTATATATTAAGTTTAAAAATAATAAAGCATTAAATATTTCCTTGGGCCTTGGAATTATGAGAATGGTTACAAGCCAATAAGTAATTAAACTCAAAATCCTAATTCCCAAACCTATTATGCTACTCCTACTGAAACTAAATTATTTCCAACATATTCACTAGCAAGACACAATATTCTAGCGATTATGAGTAGCAAACTACAATGTACTGAATGTGTTTCTCTTTTGTATAATTTAGATTTATTTTTTTGAATATTTAATCTTCTAAGACTTTATCCTTGAGTTCTAGCTTGGTTAGTATCTTTCCACTCGTGTGATTTATATTTTTTGTGTCTTTGCTTAGTTTCTTTTACGCTGTAGAATAGTTGACGGATCTATACTGTGGCCATCTTTCATGTTTTCTTAATTTATCACTCTTTAAATAGTAAAAATATCTAGAGAGTTTTGCTACGCATATAAAAGTACGTATGTTATTGCATTCTACTAGTGGCTTTTATAAGACATTAATAAAAATACTAAAAATTAACGGAATTGTACCGATACCAAAGAGAAACCGACATGATTGGGACGGTTTCGGAAAGTCTAATTTTGTTTATACATAATAGAATAACCGAAAAATTGGTATGGTAATAATTTTATAAAATAACCGGCCGAACCGAACCATTGACACCCCTAACTGTAGGTGACCCTTGAATCCAGGCTTCAGCTTGTTACCTGAATTCATTAACAGCTCGTATTGAAAAATTAGTTAGATGCTAATGTAAATTGTTATTTTCAGGGGCAGTACAAGTTTTACAAGGAGGAGTTGTCAAACAGTCCTTGAAGCCCATTTGCTTTCAATCGGAAGGATAATTGCTCCCATCTTACCTCATTTGGCTGAGGATGTCTGGCAGCATCTTCCTTTCCAGCATACCACCGAAGATGGGCATGTTGCCAAATTCGTTTTCGAGTCAAGATGGCCTGAACTAGATGCAGAACACCTTTCCTTTCCAGAGGAAGAAGTTGATTTTTGGGGAAAAATACTTGAGGTAACTGTTTTACATCTGAGACAAAGATTAGAAATTAATGATGACTAGGAGTTAAACATGGTTAGAATGCCTTGCAAAGTGATGTTATTCAAATACTCATCTCCCTCATATACAGGTTTTTTTTCATCCCTCGTATATAGGATGACTAGGAGTTTTCAGTAAAAAAGAAAGACTATAGGTGTAAAACATCATTGGCTTAGGACTCCTCCTTGCAATGTTATATTTTCCTCTTATCCTTGCCCCTTAGAGTACTGGTATATTGACTAAAGCTTCTCAATTTCTGTGGAAGACGTTTTGATACGGATAACTCCACATAGTTTGGCCCATTCTTTCAATCGGGTACCAGTTGTTTAAACTTAAAGATTGGCCTAGTATTCCAGTCTAGCTACCAGTTGCTTAAGTAAGCTCAAAGGCGGCTGATCTCTATATTTCTACGATGCACTCCATATAAGAATTCCACAGCCCTTTGGTAGCTTTAATAATTTAAGGGTTGCGAAATGATAGTCTATTACATCAGATGTCTTTTTGTTTAATAACTTAAACTATTTGTGGCATCTTTCTTTATGCCAAACAGAACCTATTTTACTTTCTATTGAATTGCTGTTCGTTCGGAGGTCCCCGTCTTTTCCTTTTTTCAGCCAACTTTATTAATCGTTATCTGATGATGGCAATTTGAACAACTATGACCAGCTAAGGACGGAAGTTAACAAAGCATTGGAAGTAGCTCGAAATGGAAAATTGATCGGCTCCAGCTTAGAGGCCAAGGTGTATCTCTACTGTTCTAATGAAAGCCTGGCTGAGAGACTAAACAAAATGTGCAAACCTACAAATGATGCAGATGCTCTAAATCGCGTATTTATAACATCTCAGGTATACTGCGGTCTCGTTTTAACTATAGTTATGACTGATGCTCAAGTCTCTATAGGCCATGGTATAAATGCGTCAATTTCCATGTCTCTACGAGCACCAGCTTTTCCCCTCTTTTAGTTGCTATATTGTTGCCGAGCTCACTTGAGCTTGAAACAAAATAATTCAAATCCTCTTGAAAACCTACTTTGATTTGCCCCTGAAGTTCTTCAAACAAATATTTGGTCACACTTGCAATGAGTATTGGTCATCTTTTTAGCTGAACTCCGTTACACACTTGTGGCAATAGTTCCACTTGAATATTATGGTCTCTGTCTAGGAATTCTTGGACTCCATAGTCGAAATGTTGTGTTTACTTGATGAAGTTAGGTTTGAAAACTTAATGCAAAAAGAGTTTCTTTGAGCACATAAAAAGGGCAGTCCGGACCCACAAGTTTCTTTGAGCACATGATTTTATGATTTTCGTGATTTGATACATTATATGAGTACGTTCTTGCAATTTATGCAGGTGGAGATTCTCAACTCCTTGGAAGATGAAAGAACTAAAGATGTTCAGTACAATGGAGAGTACCTCATCGAAGAAGGGAACACAATCTGGATTGGCGTATCCCGTGCAGATGGCTCAAAATGCGACAGATGCTGGAATTATTCACCTCAAGTAGGTTCATTTACTGAGCATCCTTTGCTATGTGGCCGCTGTCACAACGTGGTTATTGGTCTACCAATTCGTGATCCTGAAGATTTAGCCAAGGTCACACAGAGTGAAGCAAAAGAGGCTATAGCACAATGAAGTTAATCGGTCCAAAAATCTGGAGGTTTACAACTACTACAAGCTTCACATCCAACTGTAATTTTTGTCTCCAATTGAATCTTCAAAAAGTTTTAGTTTCTTTACCAAATGAGGCATCAGCCCTTCTAATGTAATTCATTGAAATAGAGAAAGAAAAACACAAATGAACTATTTTCTTTTTCAAGTTAGGATAGTATTTTTGTACATGCATTAATGAATAGATGGATAACTGGCATTGGTGATTTTTTTTGTAAAGGATCTGATTCAGACCCTGTTTGCTGATCCAACAATAAATTATATTTTTATACATTCCCTACAATTTCGCCTATGTATTCTCTACTGATCGTGAGCACTTTAGTTGCCGTAATTCTCTCTCGAGCAACTACAACAATTTACTAGACATATTCTCTCGAACTACGCTAGTTGGCTTTATCTAACGACTCATTATGACCACGCCAAGGCTTTGTTATTTCTAAACCTACCTTTAAACCCACTGTATTGATTTCTTACATACGTTAGGAGTGACGTTTTTCAACAACCACCTAAATATGTATCCTTTCTCAAGCAACATATAATAAATAGGCACAGTCAATCGATGGTCATTCAATCAATTGAAATAAGCACGTAGTTGAACAAATAGACAAATTCAAAGGTTAAATTGTATTAAAACATAACACGAATTCATCCTCCAAGAGGTTCCATCAAAACCCTAGATAACAAATTAGCTATTCATAATAGTATGCATAACTCAATACAAAAATTCATATCCAATAATGAAAATAGGAAGAAAGAAGTGAAAAACCCGTAGAAGAATTCTCCGCCTTGCTCCCAGTGTGTTCTTGCCTCCTTGGGTCGAATTTGTGTCAGAAGTCCCAAAAATAACATTTTTCTATGTATATATACCATGTAGGGTCGGGCCCAAACAATTATACCTTCTCCTACGCGAAAAAGGACAGTTTTCCCGGACAGAACGTCCGCGGCCGCGGATTCAACCGCGGATTTTACCCTGTTTCTGCCTCACATCCGCGGCCAGTGCACGGCCGCGCACTTCTCGAGCATTTTTCACCCTTTTCTGGTTAGTATTCGGAAAAGCGTAAAACATAAAAGTTGTAGCCCTTTGAATTAGCTTTCCAACCATATATTGTGGAGCTCAAATGGAGTTCTAAGAGAAAAGTTATGTGCATTTTACTAGACAGTGCGCAATATGCCTACTCGATTCTTCGTTCGTTCTTAACTATCATTTGAACCCCGAACACGATCCCGGCTTAATTCCTTGGGATTTTACTCAGACTTCAAAGCTCCAAATCACTTGAATTCATTCCATAACATCTATATAGCTCGGAATCACTCCTACAAGGCATAAAACACACAATTAGTGCAAAACACTAGCGATTAAAGCGCAAACTCAACTGAAGTGCAGTGAATTGAAATATAATAATCGACTAAAATACATAATTATAGCCTATCATCAGCCGGCTCAGCCAAACCTTTGTCAAGCCTCATGAGTTACGGGCTTACTTGGGCTGGGCTTAAAAGCCTCTGAGTTCCACAAATATTAGCCTAACTCTATTAAGAGAAATTTTTACAAACCACTATTGTTTAGAGATTATTAGCTATCTATAGCTACCATTTACTATATTACTTCCTATAGCTATGTTTTCAGTTGTTATAAGGTGTATTCGATGTATTTAAGCTACTGTATTCATGAATACAGTAGCAAAACTCGGCGTGAATCAGGGGAAGTCCAGCTAATTAATTATTGTATTCGACTATATTCGTGAGCTGTATTCGTGAATACAGTAACGTAAGTTGCATAAAAATGGACTTTTCAGCTGTTTTAAAACGGAAAGTGAATCAATTAACCAAATAGTCTCCTAATATAACTCAACTAACACAAAATTATCACATTTAATTTGTATTTCATGCTGTAGAAAAGATTTTCCATCCGAAAAATACCACTAAACAGAGCAATCTCTAGATTTTCAATCCTTCCTTTTTTTCTTTTGTTGTCGTTCGTGGAAGTTCTGGTTTCGACCAATAAAATTAGAGATTCATACAATTGTATACAGAAATTCGATATAATTCGATTTTACATATGGCAAGTTTAACCGTGCTATTGCGTTATTCCGACAAGTGGAACAGTGAGAGTAACTATGTCGATTATTCGATTGAGGGGATACTGATAAAGGAGTATGCGTCGTACAATGATTTGGTTTCTTCAATTACGAATCAACTCGACATAGATTTGAGCTCAAAGTCCATTAAAATTGAATACAAAGTAGAAGAAAATTGCACGCCAATGGAAATACATAACGACATGGGTTACAGGGTGTATGTATCGAAAAAATTGAACAGAGAATTCGGGATGTATCCTTTGTGCATAACAACAATTGACAAAGAAGTTGTAGCTGGAGGTAGTTTAATTCAAGGCGACCTTGTGCAAATTGACGAAGCAAATCAAAGGTGTAATTTTGATACAGATGATACACTTGCTCTTGACGTCGTCAATTCAGGCGAACCAATTGGGGTGTTCGAACTGGACACAGATTTGATAATTTTAAAAACTAATCAAAGAGAGGTTATGGCTGGACAAGTATATAATGATAAGGCTACATTGAAAGAGGTGATGGAGCATTATGCAATATTTGAAAGGTTTCAATTCCGGATTGATAGGTCTAATGCTATCAGGTTTGAGTGTTCTTAATTATTTAGAATTTTTTGTATGTTGTAATCATGCCAGAATTTGCAAATTGTATTAAGATGTATTTGGATATTTTTACATGACTTTCACTGTTGTACTTATGAATTTTTTTTATGTATTTCAAATACATGTATTCATATTTATTTTAATGATAAATATTTATTACAGTGACTCTCACTGTTTGTTTTTAGAAGTATTAGACGTATTTAAATGTATATATATAATTATAGTCGTATTCAGATGTATATATGGTACTATATATATGTGTCTGTGTGTGTGTGTGTGTGTAACAATGTATTCAATTGTATATGAGTGTATTTTTTTTATGCATTTATACTGATCATATATATAATAATAAATTATTTGCAGCTATACATTATTATGTTTGTCAGATGATTGTGAATGGAGATTTAAGGCTTCTAGCATTAACAAATCACAAATATTCAAAGTGAGAGAGTTCAATGATAAGCATACATGTCCGTTGAAGGATTAGGTGTATTAGCAACGTCAAGCAAGTAGTAGTATTATCGGTGGTATGATTAGGTCCAAGCTTACTAATCACAAGATCCCCAAAGGATATAATTGATGATGTGAAATCAGATTTTGGTGTTGATGTTAGTTACATGTTGGCGTGGCGGGCTAAAGAAAAGGCAATGAATTTCTTGAGAGGTGAACCGGCTGATTCATACAATAAATTACCAGGGTACCTATACACAATGGATATGACATATCCTGGTTCGCACATTAGAATGGTAAAATCCCAAAAAAATGAATTTATATATGTGTATATATCTTTGTATGCCTTTATAAAGGGGCTCGATCATTGTAGACCGATTGTGGTTGTGGATAGCAGTCACCTAAAATCGGCATACACCGGGACATTTGTCTCGGCCAGCACTTTGGATGGTGCAGGTGAGTAGGGGGATTATAATAAAATTTGTTAATTCTACTACCTATTAAATTTTGAAATACATATTTTTAATATGTATGCAATTGTATTTACAGGTCATATAATGTAACGACCCGGCCGGTCGTTTTTAGAATTTACGCCCCGATCCCCTATTAACTGCTTTCCCCAAGTTTAATTATGCTATTTTGAATTGCCGGGATGGTCGGTTTTGAATTTCGGAGCTAAATGAGAGCTTAAGTGTTGGAAAGTTGACCGTAGGCGGAACAGTGTGAAGACGGCCTCGGAATGAAAATCCGATCGTTCCGTTAGCTCCGTTGGGTGATTTCGAGTTTAGGGGCGTGGTCGGATTGTGTTTTGGAGGTCCGTAGCTAATTTAGGCTTGAAATGCCGAAAGGTCAAATTTTGCCGTTTCCGGTTCGATAGTGAGATTTTGATCCGAGGGTCAAAATGGATTCCGGAAGTTGGAGTAGCTCCATAGTGTTGAATGTGACGTGTGTGCAAAATTTCAGATCGTTCGGACGAGGTTTGATAGACTTTTTGATCGAAAGCGTATTTTTGAGGATTTTGGAGTTCTTAGGCTTAAATCCATGGTTAATTCGAGGTTTCGATGTTGTTTTAGGTGTTTTAAGGATTGGTACAAGTTTGGGTAGTGGTTTGTGACTTGTTGGTGCCTTTGGTTGAGGTCCTAGGGGCCTCGGGGTGAATTCAGATGGTTGATGGAGGAAATTTTGGAGTTTAAGTTGCAGCTTCAGCTGCTGGTGCTATCATAACCGCACCTGCGGTTTGGGTTCCGCAGGTGCGGCGCCGTAGAAGCGGCTAAGCGGCCGCAGAAGCGGAATTTTGGCCATCTCTTCAGGAACCGCAGATGCGGTATATTTTCCGCAGAAGCGGTACCGCACCTGCGGGTAAAGGGCCACAGATGCGGATTTTGGCCTTCAAGTGGGAAATCGCAGATGCGACATTTGTTCCACAGAAGCGGGACCGCAGATGCGAAAACTGCTGGGCATTATTTTTTTAAAAGGGGTTCCGCGACTTTGAAGTTTATTTTCACCATTTTAATCGTTTTTGGAGCTCTTTGGAGGGGATTGAAGAGGGATTCGAAGGGAATCACTTGGAGGTAAGATTCTTGGTCTTAAAACTCGTTTCTAATGTGAAATCTACCTAGTAAATCATGGAAGCTAGGCCTAAAAAGGAAGAATTAGGGCTTGGGATTTAAGAGACTTGAAATAAGAATTTGAGCGGTCATTCGGGCTGCAATTTCAATGTTCTTGGTATGTATGAACTCGTGAGAGTGTGAGGATTCCGAAAATATAAATTTCACTCGATTCCGAGATGTGAGCCCGAGGGGCGTTTTGGTCATTTTACCTAATTTCGCGTATTAGCTTAGAATTTAATTGTAGAATCAGTTACTTGAAGTGTTAGTTACATTATGAAATTTAATTGAATAGATTTGGGTCATTTGGAGTCGGATACTCGTGGCAAGAACGTGGTTTCGGGTTGACATTTGAGCCGGTTCGAGGTAAGTGACTTGTCTAACCTTTTGTGGGGGACCTTTCCCCCTAGGACTGTTATTGTGATAATTGAAATGCCTTGTACGTGAGGTGATGAGCGCGTACTTGTGCTAATTGTTGGAAATTCGATTTTTCATTAAAAATAGCCTTGAATTGTGTTCTTCCTTTTTCTTGCTTACACTACTTG